AAGGAGTGGCTTCGGAACAACTCTGTGACCATTCTTGACTGGCCCAGCCAGAGCCCTGACCTAAACCCAATTGAGCATCTCTGGAGAGACCTGAAAATGGCTGTCCACCAACGTTCACCATCCAACCTGAAGGAACTGGAGAGGATCTGCAAGGGAGAATGGCAGAGGATCCCCCAAATTCAGGTGTGAAAAACGGACTCATGGCTGTAATAGCTCCAAAGGGTGCTTCTACCCAATACTGAGCAAAGGGTCTGAATACTTGTGTCCATGTGATATTTCAGTTTTTCTTTTTTTAATAAATTTGCAAAAATGTCTACATTTCTGTTTTTTTTTCTGTCAAGATGGGGTGCTTGATTTTAGCAAATGGCTGCAATGAAACAAAGAGTGACAAAAGGGGTCTGAATACTTTCCGTACCCACTGTATTTGGTCTTTGGTATTTTCAATGACTATCAAGGGTGGTCTGGGAGGGTATGGGTTCTTTGTTGTTTGGTTTCTCTTCCGTTAATGTATATTACTTTCAATTCAATAAAAAGACAAAGGTAATTATAACAGGCTACCTAAAAGCCATCTTCATTTAGTGTGTATTTCCTTTCTTCCTATAGGCGTGGACTCATCATGGGGTTGTGGAATTCCCACACCTCAGTGGGCAACATTCTCGGTTCTTTGATTGCTGGACACTGGGTCTCTTCCAACTGGGGTTTATCTTTTATTGTTCCAGGAATTATCATTGCAGCCATGGGCATTGTCTGCTTCCTCTTCCTAATTGAACGTAAGTACCACATGTATGGTCCACAGGCGCACGGTATTATAACTTGGCAGATCTTGCATATGTGTATGGAAGAAATTCGGTGCCATAATTCAAATTAAAATGCATTAGCAGAAATGCTTTTTCAGGGACCACCACGCTGTCGTCCACTCGCTGGAGGACTGAGAGCAGGATAGCTAGGGCAACTTTGTTGACATCGGTGTCAAGCTCTCCATAATCTGTTCAAGTCTGTCAAGGGTATCCGATTCAGATATTGTATTTAGCTGAAACTCTAAAGCTAACCAACACGTCTCAACCTGCTTCATTAAAATGGAGATGCAAAGCCGGGATTTTCAAACTTCTCCTCTCTGTGACCAATACTCGGAGGGCAGGGAGTCCTCCAAAACAAGGCTGAATTGGCGTTACTGCTCTGGAATCTGTAGCCGTAGTCTAGTGTTGCGGCAGTGTTAACACCACCTTAGAACCCTGAGCAATGCAAGAGAAGAGCTGTGTAAATTGATGGTATGAATTTAAATTTAAAGGGCAAATAGTATGTGATGACCAAGCCTTTGGAAGATTGTTGAATTTGCGCAGTTCTGCATGATAAATCCGATAAACCTTTGTTTCTAAATAATGGGTTATTTGACTTCAACTATGGTACAGTCTTGTGATTGTTGTGTGCTGGAGAACAGCTGGATGGATGGAGGGCTTAAGGTAATAATGTAAATGTAACCAACCCAAACAGGGACCAACAAAGCCACCATACAACCATTAAAAATGTAATGAGGTCTCTGTGCTCTTCTACACTAGGCGACAGTGCAACTTCACATAGGGATTATTATGTTAATAATAATTACCATTCACAGAGCTGTGCAAAACATCCCTCTATGTGCTCTCAGAAATGTATTGTCAATCAATCACGCGAATCAGTCTGTCATTCTCAACATGTGCTTTCATTCCCTGTCTCTAGATCCAAATGACCTAAAATATCTGTATCTTCACGGTTCCTCGCCCAACAAAAGTGTAAGTACAGTGTATTTTGCTATGTTTCTTTGACCTCAGATTGAATATTTGTTAAAAGTAATTCATATCGACATTAAATGACCTAAAATGACTTTGGTTTGCTCTTAATTCGGTCTTGCATTGCAGTTGGACTAGAATACAATTTGTGCTAGAATGGTATGGTAAGAAGAATGGATAAAGCAAGAGAAGGTTATAGGGGTAGATATACCACTATACTATATATATATATATA